CCATGTACCGTGAGGTACAAGGTTCACACGTGCTCACACACCATGAAGTGAGAGGTACAAGGTTCACACGTGCTCACACACCATGTAGTGTGAGGGTTCAAGATTCACACGTGTTCACACACCATGTAGTGTGAGGGTTCAGAGTTCACACGTGCTCACACACCATGAAGTGTGAGGTACAAGGTTCACATGTGCTCACACACCATGTAGTGTGAGGTACAAGGTTCACATGTGCTCACACACCATGTAGTGTGAGATACAAGGTTCACATGTTAAGGTTCACATATGCTCACACACAATGTAGTGTGAGATACAAGGTTCACATGTTCTCACACACCATGTAGTGTGAGGTACAAGGTTCACACGTGCTCACACACCATGTAGTGTGAGTGTTCAAGGTTCACACGTGCTCTCACACCATGTAGTGTGAGGTACAAGGTTCACACGTGGTCACATACCATGTAGTGTGAGGGACAAGGTTCACACGTGGTCACATACCATGTAGTGTGAGGTACAAGGTTCACACGTGCTCACACACCATGTAGTGTGAGGTACAAGGTTCACACGTGCTCACATACCATGTAGTGTGAGGTACAAGGTTCACACGTGGTCACATACCATGAAGTGTGAGGTACAAGGTTCACACGTGCTCACACACCATGTAGTGTGAGGTACAAGGTTCACATGTGCTCACATACCATGTAGTGTGTGGGTTCAAGGTTCATATGTGCTCACACATGTGAGAGGCAGGAAAAGATATATTGTGGAACTGGAGCTGAAGGATACAAGGAAAATGACGAGAGGCACTCTAGGTTGAGGAGAGACCCGGCAGGGTGAGGAGAGACCCGGCAGAGTGAGGAGAGACCCGGCAGGGTGAGGAGAGACCCGGAAGAGTGAGGAGAGACCCGGCAGGGTGAGGAGAGACCCGGGAGGGTGAAGAGAGACCCGGCAGGGTGAGGATGGACCCGGCAGAGTGAGGAGAGACCCGGCAGGGTGAGGAGAGACCCGGGAGGGTGAGGAGAGACCCGGCAGGGTGAGGATGGACCCGGCAGAGTGAGGAGAGACCCGGCAGGGTGAGGAGGGACCCGGCAGAGTGAGGAGAGACCCGGCAGGGTGAGGAGAGACCCGGCAGAGTGAGGAGAGACCCGGCAGGGTGAGGAGAGACCCGGGAGGGTGAGGAGAGACCCGAGAGGGTGAGGATGGACCCGGCAGAGTGAGGAGAGACCCGGCAGGGTGAGGAGAGACCCGGGAGGGTGAGGAGAGACCCGGCAGGGTGAGGATGGACCCGGCAGAGTGAGGAGAGACCCGGCAGGGTGAGGAGAGACCCGGGAGGGTGAGGAGAGACCCGGCAGGGTGAGGATGGACCCGGCAGAGTGAGGAGAGACCCGGCAGGGTGAGGAGGGACCCGGGAGGGTGACGAGAGACCCGGTAGGGTGAAGAGAGACACGGCAGGGTGATGAGAGACCCGGCAGCGTGAGGAGAGACACGGCAGGGTGAGGAGAGACCCGGCAGAGTGAGGAGAGACCCGGCAGGGTGAGGAGAGACCCGGCAGAGTGAGGAGAGACCCGGCAGGGTGAGGAGAGACCCGGCAGAGTGAGGAGAGACCCGGCAGGGTGAGGAGAGACCCGGGAGGGTGAGGAGAGACCCGGCAGGGTGAGGATGGACCCGGCAGAGTGAGGAGAGACCCGGCAGGGTGAGGAGAGACCCGGGAGGGTGAGGAGAGACCCGGCAGGGTGAGGATGGACCCGGCAGAGTGAGGAGAGAGCCGGCAGGGTGAGGAGGGACCCGGCAGAGTGAGGAGAGACCCGGCAGGGTGAGGAGAGACCCGGCAGAGTGAGGAGAGACCCGGCAGGGTGAGGAGAGACCCGAGAGGGTGAGGAGAGACCCGGCAGGGTGAGGATGGACCCGGCAGAGTGAGGAGAGACCCGGCAGGGTGAGGAGAGACCCGGGAGGGTGAGGAGAGACCCGGCAGGGTGAGGATGGACCCGGCAGAGTGAGGAGAGACCCGGCAGGGTGAGGAGGGACCCGGGAGGGTGAGGAGAGACCCGGCAGGGTGAGGATGGACCCGGCAGAGTGAGGAGAGACCCGGCAGGGTGAGGAGAGACCCGGGAGGGTGAGGAGAGACCCGGCAGGGTGAGGATGGACCCGGCAGAGTGAGGAGAGACCCGGCAGGGTGAGGAGGGACCCGGGAGGGTGACGAGAGACCCGGTAGGGTGAAGAGAGACACGGCAGGGTGATGAGAGACCCGGCAGCGTGAGGAGAGACACGGCAGGGTGAGGAGAGACACGGCAGAGTGAGGAGAGACACGGCAGAGTGAGGAGAGACACGGCAGGGTGAGGAGAGACCCGGCACGGTGATGAGAGACCCGGCAGGGTGATGAGAGACCCGGCAGGGTGAGGAGAGACACGGCATTGTGAGGAGAAACCCGGCAGGGTGAGGAGAGACCCGGCAGGGTGATGAGAGACCCGGCAGGGTGAGGAGAGACACGGCATTGTGAGCAGAAACCCGGCAGGGTGAGGAGAGACCCTGCAGGGTGAGGAGAGACACGGCAGTGTGAGGAGAGACCCGGCAGGGTGAGGAGAGACCCGTCAGGGTGAGGAGAGACACGGCAGGGTGAGGAAAGACCCGGCAGGGAGAGGAGAGACACGGCAGTGTAATGAGGGACCCGGCAGGGTGAGTAGAGACCCGGCAGAGTGAGAAGAGACACGGCACGGTGAGGAGAGACCCGGCAGGGTGAGGAGAGACCCGGCAGGGTGTGGAGAGACCCGGCAGGGTGAGGAGAGACCCGGCAGGATGAGGAGAGACACGGCAGGGTGAGGAAAGACCCGGCAGGGTGAGGAGAGACCCGGCAGGGTGAGGAGAGACCCGGCAGGGTGAGGAGAGACCCGGCAGGGTGAGGAGAGACCCGGCAGGGTGAGGAGAGAATCAACAGGGTCGGGAGGAACTCTGGAAGGAGTGTGTGAGAGGAAGCAATATTGGGTGGCCAGAGTGTCAACAAAGAGGGAAGGAAGGTAAACTCATGCACGTGGACTGTCTGATAGTCTCCCCTCCAACACCTGCAGCACCCCAATCAACACCTGCAATCCTCTCCTTCAATAACTGCAACCCACTCCACCAACACTCGCAACCCTCTCCTACAACACCTGCAATCTCCTCCACCATCACCTGTAACCCTCTCCATCAGCTCCTGCCTACCTCCCCACCAACACCTACAACCCTCACCACCAACACCTACAGCCCTCACCACCAACACCTGGAACCCTCATCACCAACACCTGCCTCCCTCCATACCATCACCTGCCTCCCTCTCTACCAACACCTGCCTCCATCCCTATCAACACCTGCCTCCCTACTAATACCCACTTACCTCCCTACCAGTACCTAATTACCTCCCTACTAAGCCTGTCTCCCTCACTACCAACACCTGTCTCCCTCCCTACCAACACTTACAACCCTTTCCATCAATTTCAAAGCTTAAAGATGCACAAAGAAAGAAGGTGTGGAACTGAGAATAGTTGATGAGAATCTTGGAAGCAGGAGATGAGGAGAATAAAGATCAGGAAAAAGGAGCCAAACCGAGATGGAAATGAATAACAGATCCGCGTAGAGGACAAGAACAAGGGAGATAAAAGACCAAATAAGGTAAACATTTGGAAGAAGGAACATGAGAAGAAAGTCAGAAGCAGTACGATGCAGAGAGAGGAATAATTCATATATGCGTGTTAAGGGAAAAGAATGAATAAAATATTAGAAGTGGGAATATCTGAAAAGTGAATAACATGGTGAGATACAGTGAAGGAGATATAGAGATAGTGAATAACATGGTAAAAAGGTGAAAAAGACAGTGAAAGTAAAGGACATGGTGACATCAGACAAAGGAGAAAGAGAGAGAAGAATGATATTTTATTACTCAGTGCTGGTCCAGCATCCAAGTCTAATATATAAATGATAATAATAAACACTAAAAATAAGTTGATAATAAGATACACGAGCAACAGTTGGGTATGTCTATTGAAATGTTTCGCCTACACGGTAGGCTTCCTCAGTCTAAAACAGAGGAGAATAAATTGTAGGCAGCATTGGTATTGACGAGGTAAATATAATGTAATTAGTCCGTCAACTTTTGAGAAATAGATTTGAGGTCATCAGTCCCTCAGCCTTCCAGGGTGAGCGACTCTCCTCAGCCTTCCAGGGTGAGCGACTCTCCTCAGCCTTCCAGGGTGAGCGACTCTCCTCAGCCTTCCAGGGTGAGCGACTCTCCTCAGCCTTCCAGGGTGAGCGACTCTCCTCAGCCTTCCAGGGTGAGGGGACTCTCCTCAGTTTTCCAGGGTGAGCGACTCTCTTCACCTTCGCAGGAGAGAGACTCAGCAGGGTGTGGCGAGACTCGGCAAAGTGAAGAGAGACTCGACAGGGCTAGAACAATCTCTTCATGGTAAGAAGAGTCCTTCACAATGGAGGGCTGAGGGGTTGACCATTTCTTCATTTCTATTACTCCAGCTATGATGGACTGATTACATAATCTTCACCTCGTCAACACTCCTGCTGCCAACAATTTATTCTCCTCTGTTTTTGAGTGAACAAGCCCACTGTGTAGGCGATACGTTTCTGCGGTAAACATACCCAACTGTTGCTCGTGTGTTTTATTTGTCAACTTGTCTTTATTATTTATCATTTTCAGCATCCCTGTCTTTGACCTGGATGCTGGACCAGGAATAACTAAGAAAATATTCTTCTTCTCTTACGTCCCGTCTTGCAGCTAGACCTACTATAAGCCTACTATAAATCATCTTAACATTTCATCATTGCTGATCTGAAGTACACTAGTGTTAGTGGTGTTTTGGTCAGTGGTGTTGCTGGTCTGAAGTACACTAGTGTTAGTGGTGTTTTGGTCAGTGGTGTTGCTGGTCTGAAGTACACTAGTGTTAGTGGTGTTTTGGTCTATCTAGTGCCAATGGTCTGATATATGAGCGTATCAATAATATTTTCTGTATTCTTGCTAGTGCCTCCAGTGATCAATGACATGAGCAGCAGCAGTGACGTGACAGTGGACGAGGGCAGTGAAGCAGTGATGAGATGTGAAGCCAGCGGAGATCCCCAGCCAATCATACGCTGGGTCAGGGAGGATGGAAGTAGATTCACCATCAATTCATCTCTCACTGGTGAGATATCATCAATCTCTTGTTGTCATTGTCAGTTAATTTTTCATGAAATACCCAAAATATAACATAAATGTGTTATCAGGCTAACTTATAGTGTACAGTAAATGTAATGTTAGTTTTTGTTAGTTTTATTCTCCTATAGAGGCTTTTGCTTGTCGAGATCTGTCTCTTCTTAGTAAAAAATCTTAGGAGCTTCTATCATTAGTTCGATAACATCTCGCGCTCCTCATCATCTCTTTCATCGACATTTCTCTAAGAACATTTTTCTCATCAACATCTCTTAATCATCATTATTTCACTCATCAACATCTCTTACTTATCAACATTTCTCATTTATCAGAATCTCTCGCTTGTCAACATCTCTTACTCATCATAACCCCCCACTCACAAAGTTACAGCATCTCTCTCACTGTAACACTACAGAAGCCGACAATGAGGGAGGTACCATGTTACGAGGTGCACAGAATAAAACTAATATTCTTAGTTAAGAATTAGTGCAGGATTTATATATACAACAGGAAACTACCTTTTCCTATTAATCGGCTTCATGTGATTATTTGTTCCTGGTAATAATGACATGAGCTTCCTTAATAGATGAATATAAGTTAAAATAATTTAATTCAATAATCAGATCAATAACTGAATCAGTCAGATCAATAACTAAACTTAAGACAACTAGATCTCTCTTATTTTTACTAGTACGTTCGTACTGTAATGTAATGTTCAAGGTGAGTACACTACATACATAACAATTAAATTTTGTTAGAATAGCATAAAGCACTTTAATAAGCTTATAGGCATGTTCAGGTACATATGTGACATAATCAGGATAATTAAAACATGAGAGTGATGATTGATTGCCTCCTCACTGTAACACATGCAGTTCACACGATTAAAATGACTACTGTCCGCTTGTCTCATTCCTCTGGAAGAAAATAGGTAAGAACCCACGATCGCCAACCTTTTGATCTTCAGTGAGAAAACAATGATCATCCACCCCAGGATGCGCGAGCAGCTGGATAGGTAAGCAGGAGTCAGGTATTGTTTAACGAAAAGGAATTTATATATCACCAAGCCGCAAGGTCTGGTGATATATACGTCTGGTGATATATACATTCTGTTTCCTCCTACGGAGGCAACAGTACGTACTTAATTAAGCGGTTGATATAGAACAGTCAGAGACGACCCAGATGAAGTACTAACCAGAGGAACAGTGACTGTCATTTCAGCCAGATTTCTTCTCACCCTTGAGCATCGTTTACAATCTATAAAGTGAAGATCGAATCATTTAGAATAAGGAAAGCCTTGGAGCGGTCGACTAGATGGCAACAACTAAAAGGCAGAAAGAACCAACAAGGCAAACAATATTTTGAAAAAATGCGTCTTTCGTCCGACCTTAATATCTAAACCACACATTAGCATAAGAAATATGATCAAACATCGATATATATCAGAATTTATACACCGAAAGATATTTTAAATAATCCCCACATCCACGTATAAGTAATTCCCACATCCACGTATTTTAAGTAATCATCACATCCACGTATTTTAAGTAATCATCACATCCACGTATTTTAAGTAATCATCATATCGTAGTAAAACACTGAGCTTATATTTTATTTTGGTTATCTAGATTTAATTTGATGTTAAGTTGATTCTATAGGTGCACCAATGAAATGATTCAAATTTTCTCTGATTCATCATAGTCAATCACCAAGATCTCTCAGTAGCATCTCTCACTCTGTAAGATCTCTCACTCAGTAGCATCTCTCACTCTGTAAGATCTCTCACTCAGTAGCATCTCTCACTCTGTAAGATCTCTCAATCAGTAGCATCTCTCATTCTGTAAGATCTCTCACTCATCACGATATCTTACGCAAGATGTCTTGCTCATCACGATATCTTACGCAAGATGTCTCGCTCATCACGATGTCTTACGTCTGTCGTGTTATTATAGATGCCTTCCCCTTTCAAGAGTTTATATTAAGGAGACCCGTTTCCTTTACATAATTTTAAAAATCTCCCCTCTAAATGTTATCGTTTTCTCGCCACTTTAAATGGACACGTTGTCCCGTGGAAGGCTACCTTATAATTGAAGAATCTTCTATATCACTAACAATACATTTACCTGTGTAAAGTTATTGATGTCACAGCGGAATATGATCGATATTTTTTATTATTGCCACGTTATTTTCGTTATAATATCAATGCTTGTGAGATTTTTCTGATGCTATAATATTCATCCTTCTGGCGGTGGGCACTGTTGTGCCTTTGGGCACTTTCTGTACCCTCCTCTCTCTCTCCCTCCCTCACTCACTCCAGTGGAGACGGTCCTCTGGCAACGTACTTGCTTGGACATCCTCCTCTTTTCTGCAATTTTGCGAGCTCCTGATGATGTGTTGATTGCAATACGAAAGGCCTAGAGCTATCATTCTACTCCCCTTGGTTGTTTTGTACATATATATATATATATATATATATATATATATATATATATATATATTATATATATATATATATATATATATGTATATATATATATATATATATATATATTATATATATATATATATATATATATATTATATTATATATATATATTATATATTATATATATCAGTGGTCCCTCGTTTTTCGTAATTAATCCGTTCCTGGAGCCGTTACTATAAACTAAATTTACGATTTACGAATCAATTTTCCCCATAAGAAATAATGTAAATACAATTAATCCGTTCCTGACACCAAGAAGTATTAAAACAAAAAAAATTTTAACATGAAATATACATGTAGTACATAAACAATACAATGGGAAATGATGAATGAAACATTAACAGCATAACACTTACCTTTATTGGAGATTCTTCTTAGTGTATGGGAGACTGGAGGAGGAGGAGAGAGTGGATTGTTTATAGTTTGGAAGGGGAATCCCCTTCCATCAACACCTCAGGTACCATTTGCTTTTCTGGGGTTGCTTCTCTTCTCTGTTTCTTAATGCCACTAGGACCACCTTGAGAGTCACTGGAGTCCTGTCTCACAAAAAATAACTGTGGAGAGAGCTCTGTTTCTGGCGTATCTTTAACACTTCCCTAAAATGGCCCAAGACTTTGTCACTGTACATGTTGCCAACCTGGCTTGCAACAACCTTGTTAGGGTGATGTTTCTCCATAAAGCTTTCCATCTTACCCCACATAGTAAAAATCTCTTTAATTTCTGAAGAAGGCACCTTCTTCCATCTCTCTTCCTCCTCTGCAGCAAGATTCTGAGCTGCGATGTGTTGCTCTTCCTGCTGAAGCTCTTGCAGCTCCTCAGTGGTGAGCTCTTCATTGTGGTCTTCCACCAATTCTTCCACATCCTCCAAACTCACATCCAACCCCATGGAACTCCCCAGTGCCACAATTGATTTTACAACAGACATAGGCTCATTAGGGTCAGTCTCAAATCCTTCAAAATCCTTCTTGTCGACACAATATGGCCACAATTTTCTCCAGGCAGAGTTCGAAGTCCTGGTAGTCAATCCCTCCCAAGCCATACCTATAAGGGTTATGCAGTGGAGGAAGCTGAAGTGTTCTCTCCAAAATTCCCTTAGGGTCAAGTGAGTGTCTGTGATCACAGTCAAGCACCTGTGAAACATTGCTTTTGTGTAGAGTTTTTTAAAGTTTGCAATAACCTGCTGGTCCATGGGTTGGAGGAGAGGAGTGGTATTCGGGGGCAAGAACTTTACTGTGATGAACCCAAACTCCTCGAAAGTTAGGTCATCCAAGTTTGGAGGATGAGCAGGTGCATTGTCCATTACTAGCAGGCACTTGAGATCCAATTCCTTTTCCAGGAGATACTCCTTCACACTAGGGCCAAACACTTCATTGAACCACTCGACGAAAATTTCCCTCGTGACCCATGCCTTACTATTAGATTTCCAAACACACACACAATTTACTCTTCATAACATTGTTTTTCCTGAACACTCTGGATTTTCAGAATGGTACACTAGTAATGGCTTCACTTTGAAATCCCCACTAGCATTAGCACAGAACATTAGCGTCAGCCTGTCTTTCATAGGCTTGTGTCCTGGCATTGCCTTTTCCTCTTGTGTAATGAAGATCCTCTTAGGCATTTTCTTCCAAAAGAGGCCTGTTTCGTCACAATTGAACACTTGTTCAGGTTTCAGTCCTTCAACCTCTATGTACTCCTGGAATTCATGCACATATTTTTCAGCCGCCTTGTGGTCCGAACTGGCAGCCTCACCATGCCTTACCACACTGTGTATGCCAGTACGGTTCTTAAATCTCTCAAACCAGCCTTTGCTGGCCTTAAATTCACTCACTTCACCACTATTTGCAGGCAATTTCTTTATCAAGTCTTCACGCAACTGCCTAGCCTTTTCACAAATAATCGAAGTCATAAGAGTATCTCCTGCTAATTGTTTCTCATTTGTCCACACCAATAATAACTTCTCAACCTCTTCCAGTACTGGTGATCTCATTTTTGTCAGCATAGTTACTCCCTTTGCAACAACAGCATCCTTTATTACGGTCAAACTGGTAAAAATCTCGAACTAAGATTAAAACAACATAAATATAGCATTATAACTGGGCAAGATTCCAATGCTCTATTTATTCATGTAAGAGATTTTAACCATCCAATTGATTTTCAAAAAGTTGAGAAAGTAGTATCAAGCAAGTCCATGGTCGACAGAAATATAATTGAATCTTGTTTCATAAAAAGCAGTTTTGACAATAATATGAATATTTCCTTTGGTTTATATAAATTAGATCCATTTATAATTAATAGAATTTGGGAAGAATTTAATAATACACTGGACAAATAATAATTTTTAAATTTTTTTTGGTAGAATAGTTTGTGGGTGAGTTGTGCAAAGGACCTATCCAGTTGAGTCGGCGCGCGTCAGGTGTTTAACGGTTGTGGGATCTGATAGTGAGGTGTTGGCCAGACCTCTTATATAGCTTCCTTGGATGCTTTACTTTCATAGTTCTTTGATA